GTAATTAAATGATATAAAATAATGTTCTTTATTGATATACTTATTCCTAAAAAACATTAAAAAAAAGATAAACTTTCTCACAAATATTTACTTAAATCCATACCATCTTAGTTAGAAAAAAAATACAATAGTTAACCAGTGTTTGGTATCGATGGATGGTGTTGTGTAAATGTAATGCAAAAAAGCGGGCTGTGGTTTTCTTTCCCATAGCTGTGACTTCATAATTGCTGCTGATCTTTAATTACTCATAGCCGAAATAGCTCATATGCCTATGTAAACTTTATTACGAGTTCTTAAATATATTAACGGTAAAGATGTTGTGATATAGAGCTAGGATGCCAATCAAAACAAACATTTTAGTTGAATTTTTTTAAACAGCCTCTATAATATTACATAGGCATAAATTAAGATGTTATGCTTTAATTAAAGAGAAACCTAACAGCCTTTATACGTCCACAGGCAAGGCTAACACCACATTGGTGCCCCTCTGACGGTTATATATTATAAATTATGACTACGTATTTAGCAAATAAACTATGTTATAATTTGTAATACACTTCAGTGGAAAAACATAAAAGCGGTGTTAAAGAAAACTCTACCCCATGAAGGTATCAGCATCGATAATCCTGGGGAATCCCTCATTGGGCATCCACTTCTAAACTATCTTCATCCTTTGCATGGATGCCCAGGCTGCCCTGAGCTAAGCTATTATGATGCTCTTCTGGCTATGATGATGCATTTGATGATGCTATTCTGGGGGAGGGGACGGGGGCAAAACTCCGTTTTGTTCACATCCCACGCTCGCTGAGGATTTCTGCAACATAAGGGGACTTCATCCAAACCTTAACACTGTCCACCACAGTTCTTTTTGGCTGATACATTATATTTGATTATCTTACTCAGATTAGAAACTGGATTACTCCTTTCTGCCTCGGGCCAGAGTTTGTGTGTACGTCAGAAAGGATATTTGTTCTCGAAGCCTCGGTAGTCTTGAAGGCGGGGACCTGTCCATCCTATGGCTACGCATAGACGGTAACGACTACCTCCGCGTGTATGGATGCCTTTATAGGTCCCACAGAGATAATGTCGAGACCGACTCATCAACCACGTTCAAATAGAAATAGATTCCGTATTAGAACTGATCTCATCCGCAGAGATCGTGACCTTCTGCTGACCTCTCATACGGAGAGATATCAGGTCTCCGTCTATGTCCCTCTTGGTTCTTCGGACCACTGCCTGATCTGTAGGCTGTTGCCTTGTGTGGCACTATACGTCAGCGGATTAGGATGGAATGCGTGCTTTTTATAAACCTTACCCATGGGGGTGAATTTGCTTCTCAAAGCCTGTGAATGTTTGTATTCTACAAGATTGCGTGCTATCGCCTACTCTGTTGTTTTTGCATATCAATGATATTGCATACTATTAACTATAATTGTTATGCAGGCACTGGCGTAACCGTACACCGGCCGTGCTAATATTTTTTGGGAACATGTCGTCGAGTACCGGAATAAACTTGTGTCTGAAGTCGAGTCTTTCAAAATCTAGTCCAGTTTATACCCCCAAAAGACACAGAATTGCGCATTTACCGAAAGAAAGAACTCATTTTTTTACAGTAAAAGCGCAAACCTGTAGCGTATCTTCTCAATTTTTTTCTCGTATCTCTTCAATGTCGGGGCACTTCCCTAGTTGCCTCAGCCAGCATCGGAATCCTTGGCGTCAACATTTTGAGGAACTTGCAGTATCAACGGAGAGCGGCCTGAATCGTCGACGACCAAATTATTTCCGATAGGCTTGATCCACTCGCTTTGCGAAGAGATGTTGCATCGCTTTACATAATATTCTACCGTATATACCGCGGGGATTGCTCAGAGGAATTTTTAGAATTAATTCCAGCTGCTGAATTCCACCATCTTACACTGCAACGGAACTTAAAATTCCATCTCGATGGCTGGCGGTCCACTACTGTACGATTTAAGCGGAATTTTTCCTCGCACGACTATACTGTGGATTTTACTTCCCCCGCCCCCTCCCCTTTGTAACCCCTAAGTACGTGCCTAGTTTACCTTTAGGATAGTCCGCCACTGTCTACAGGCACAGGCACCTATTCTGTCACAGGCACATATATCTGAGAGAGCATCTGGCATCAACGACTTTTTCTGCCATCAAGGCAATGCCACTGTGGTATGAAGTGAAATATTTGACAAATATTTACAAATTGTGCTGTTCCTTGCTATAAGAAATTGACAACTGAACTACTGTTTTGAACGATACTTTTCTATTGTATAAATTACATTGAAAATTTTGGCTTTCAATTCAATATAAAACCAAAACATTCGTAATTTTTAATACTTTCCGTACATAACTTAGTTATAAGGAAATTGATATGATTTTATACTTTATTAGTTACTATTGGCTTAAATAAAATCTTCAAACACGACAAATACCACATTTTAATTTAAGTCTTATGAGTAATTGAAAATGTTGGCTTTCAATTCAATATAAAACCAAATCATTTGTAATTTTTATTACTTTCCGTATATAACTTAGTTATAAGGAAATTGATATGATTTTATACTTTATTAATTACTATTGGCTTAAATAAAATCTTCAAACACGACAAATACCACATTTTAATTTAAGTCTTATAGTAATTGAAAATGTTGGCTTTCATCTCAATATAAAACCAAATCATTTGTAATTTTTATTACTTTCCGTACATAACTTAGTTATAAGGAAATTGATATGATTTTATACTTTATTAATTACTATTGACTTAAATAAAATCTTCAAACACGACAAATACCACATTTTAATATAAGTCTTATGAGTAATTGAAAATTTTGGCTTTCAATTCAATATAAATCCAAAACATTTGTAATTTTTATTACTTTCCGTACATAACTTAGTTATAAGGAAATTGATATGATTTTATATTTTATTAATTACTATTGGCTTAAATAAAATCTTCAAACACGACAAATACCACATTTTAATATAAGTCTTATGAGTAATTGAAAATTTTGGCTTTCAATTCAATATAAAACCAAAACATTTGTAATTTTTATTACTTTCCGTACATAACTTAGTTATAAGGAAATTGATATGATTTTATACTTTATTAATTACTATTGGCTTAAATAAAATCTTCAAACACGACAAATACCACATTTTAATATAAGTCTTATGAGTAATTTTCTTTTCAAAAATCGCATAAGACATTTTACGTGCCTACATACCCTACATATCGGACGGACTTCAGTAAAATGTCGATTATTGTATAAAATATTGCCGTCGCTTTATTTGATTAAGATAGCCGTACCTATATTTAATTAGTTAATGTTAATATTCTTTTAACATTTACCGACGGATGTCATTGTTCACTTTTAATAAATATAGGTACTCCAAATTTTTACAATAACACTAAGCTTAAATTAGACGTTTCTTTAAAAAAAATCCGGTGGACAGATATTGCTAACGTTTATAATTTTAAGAGGGTATTTTATCTGACGAATGCGCATAAAACGGAACATCTAAGAATACTCATATCTTCACGTTGGTGTCGTAAAAAACGACAAAGGGATACAGGAACAGGAGATAGCAGCAGCATCTTCCTGATAACAATTCAAAATTTAAAATTTTTTTTTTTAATATAAAACTGTGAGTGCCAACCCACCTGCAAGTGTGGCTCCTGTGACAAAATATCCCCCTTTACAGTGGAATAAAGAATATCAAAATATCGGATGTTGTATCAGTAACTATTTATTAAAATCTTCATTCCATATTTGCCGCCGTTACGGGTGGAATTTTCCTCTCCAAATGCATATGGTACTGACCACTGAAGTAAAACTAATATGAAGTAAAACTATACACCACTGAACTAACCTACTACTACTACTAATACTACTAACCTATTTAATGAAAAAATAATTAATGATTTCTTATATTTACGCGAACACTACACATTGATTAAAACTACTTTTACGGATTTTATCGCGTTTATTTTACTTTCAATTACTTTTATTTTTAATTCCCGACGTTTCGGGCGCTTTTCAGCACCCATGGTCACGGGGGACTGAGATGACTGACGTCCCGATGTCATTGTTAAACTTAATGTACTCCGGGTTTAAAGCGGGAAAACGTCCGAAACGTCGGGAATTAAAAATAAAAGTAATTAAAAGTAAAATAAACGCGATAAAATCCGTAAAAGTAGTTTTAATCGAAAAAATAATTATTAAAGCCTGCCGAGCGCGGCAACTTCCCTCATATGAAGCAATCAATGGGAATGCCTATATTTAGCAATAGTCTTTGATAGGCTGTAATTGAAGGAAGCACCTGCAACTTTGCATGGACAATATATACGCGAGTAGCAAGAGCGGATTTTATCCCGAATCGGAATCCCGAAACGGAATTCCGTAATTATATAGCGGGCCTAGAGGTCCCTGTGGACCTTACTCATTTACCTATTGTGTCCATTTACAAGAATACGAAATATATAGACTTTTATACTATTATTATATATTCAACGTATTATGTACTAGGAATTTTAAGAGTTACACGCATTACTACAATGAATACTTATAAAACTGTCTATACTCGGCCACACATATTATATGTAAACCTTTATAGTAACTGTAAAATAAAGCTAAGAAATTGAACATGTTATATATCAAATAAGTGATTTTAGGGAATAAAAATCACACGTAGCACAAAAGAAAATGTAACAGTCTTGCATAAACAGACTAGAAGCTGAAACTACAATGTAAAGATTTATTAATTACGTTTATGAAACAAAAAGTCAAAATGTATGTTTTGACTTTTACTTTTATAAATGTTTCAATATTTGTGTATTTTATAAATGTGTATTGTATTTTCTTTTATAAATGTTACGATATTTGTATACATCTACTAATACACTTTATATTACTTCAGTTACTTTAAAGTCTTAACACTGATAGCTTATTTTTATCTTCATGCACAGAAAACAACAAACAAGCTCTTACCATTTTACTTAGTAGCACTAATAACTAGTAATAATACTATCAACAAAATTAAACTATAACTTCACTATTACACATGAATGGTACTTGTTGACAACACAACGCGCGGCTGAAACAGCGCGCGAGTAGGTCGGTCGCAATCGTTTTCAACGGTTTTATATAAAACTTACCCAACACAAGATACTGGCGCTCTCGAATAACTTTGGAAATGATACAGGCTGTCCTAAGAAAATTTGAGCACCTCATAAATGCCAGAATAAACTCATGTACGGTCGACTTTTTCTATACTTAGCAGTAATGATGCTTAGTAACTTTTCATTGAAACACAAGTTACTAGCCAATTCCAGTCGTATTGAGGGAAATAAATAAAATGAACGCCTGTATTTTCTCTAGTGTTCGTAAAAAGTTATCCCTAGCCTCTATTTTGATTAAAAATCCAGTACCATTAAAATCGTAACAAAACATTCTGAAAAACAAAACAATAAAAAATAGCAAAACTAACGGTTTTTTATTGTGGTTAAGTCCAACCAAAAATAAAATCACGTATCTTTTCTCAGACTTGAGATTTGGGCTCAAAACATGCCAAAGAGTTTTGGTAGTGTAGTAAACAAAAAAGTAAGAAAATAAAAAAAGAACATTTATAAGACTCAAAACAGATGTAACTTCAATAAGTTAATGATTTAGTGCAAAATTTAATTAAAAAAATCTTAATAAACATAAAAATGAATCTCTTTATTGAGACATACTGTATATTATGATATAAAGATGTAAGGTTAGACCTAATTTACTTAATTGGTAAAATATATAATTTTTGCATCTAAGTATTTAAATATCATATACTTACATAATATTATCGATCTAAGTATGAGCAGAGGAGCATTGTACGGTTGGCATTTCAAAAGTGCCTTTTCCATGAAAATGTACTTACAAAGGTTTTAAATTTTACTCAATTGAAATTGAGCATGCATTATTGGGGTATCCACCACCCTAAAACTGGGGATACACATGCCCGCAGCTTGTACACTAGCATACCAGCCCCTTGCACGTGCCAGCTACTGTCATGTGTATACGCTAACTGGCATGCCTGTAACTAGCATACAAGTAGCTAGCACAACATTTGATTTACTTACATGCCCGTTGAGGGAGGGGACGCGGGGGGGTTGCCAAACTGGCACGTGTGAACAGACGCGATAGCTACGCGCATGCCAGTAGCTGACTCGTTGTGGTCGTAGGCGCACGTTATTGTTTTTTTTTTTCGAAGGTCAAGTTTTTTCAAGTCATTCTTTTGTTGGTTTTTTTGTATTCAACATGGCATGATGGGGAGATGAGAGAACTATACAGTTCATTCATTTGTACAGAGACTACGAATGTCTTTGGAAGCCGACTAGCCCGCTTTACAAAAACAAGATAGCACGTGCCAATGCCTACACCAAAATACAAGAAGAATTTAGTCTGACTGAAAAAGAAATTAAAAATAAAATCAAAAGTCTGCGAAGTACTTATCATCAAGAAAAGAATAAAGTGGAAAATTCAAAACGATCCGGAGCTGGATCCAGTGACATTTACAAACCCAGTTTGATTTGATATAAGGAAATGGATTTTATAAATGAAAGTTTCGAATATAGAAACTCAATCCAAACCGCTGTTGTAAGTACCTACTCTTTATCTTTAACACGCTTTTATTACCTTCATATGTTTGTAACCGACTTCTTTAGACTCGATTTACTAACAGAATAATATCAGCTTATATTAAAAATTATGTTTTACTTTTTAGTTCGATGTGCTCTAAAAGCGTGTTTTTTTAGTTTTTTTATACTATATTTTTATCTATTATTATGTAAAAAAAGTTGACACAATAGTTATATTAAGCAAAAGTACTTAGACAATTACATTTGTTCATTTAAAATATTAATCATACGATCTTGCCAAGGCACTGCTTCTATTGTAATGAAAAGATCTGCGTATTTATTTCTAATGAGTATAGCTTCTCTAGACGATCGATTATTTCGTGTTCCTGATAAATTCCGTAAAGATCTTTGTAACTGATCACGCCAGAAGCCGTTAATAATAGTACTGAGTTGAATATCTTCATAATCCACACACTTTTGTGTGATTAAGTATTAGTGGTTTTACGCAACCAATTGTGTAAAGAACATGCCGCTAATACTATGACGTCAACTTTTTCTGGTTTTAGAGCTATAAATGATTCAAAAATTCGGAATCTTGATACAAGGATACCGAACGCATTTTCAACAATTCGCCTGGCCCTTGACAACCGATAATTAAAAACTTTTTCTCTTCGGGTGGCTCTGGTAGGAAACGGTTTCATGAGATATTTTTTAAGGGAAAAGCTGCATCTCCAACTATAACAGAATGTTCAGGAATATCTAAATAATTATTTTCTAGTGCTTGTTTCAAGACTGATTCTTCAAACACTCTGCCGTTGTATCCTATATCAATATAAGAAAAACAGTAATCGTCATCCACCAATGCTAGTAGCACTATGCTGTGGCTTCCATTATAATTAAAATAATTTGATGTTTCGTCAGGACCAATAATATTTATGTGTTTGCCGTCGATAGCTCCAATACAGCCTGAAAAGTTCCATTTGGTTCGAAAGCCATTTTCTATCTCCTTCCATTCCTGCCTCGTAGGTATCTGAAAACAAAATGTCTGTTAACACATATAAAGTAACGAATATTACCTGCAACACTTAATTAAAAAATAAAATTTACAGGTACAACAGTCCTCTCAATCGAACACTGAAACAGAAACACCACGCTCTCAAAGAGGTACTTCATCAGACCAGCAATCCTCCTCTCAAACAGTCAACCCACCAAACAACGAAACATTATCTGTCGCAGTCGACCAATCACACTCGTCCAATCAAGCAAGCATTACAAACGAGCAAGTACCATCACCCTCTCTCCGGGACCAGCAATCCTCCTCTCGCACTGCAGCAGTCAACCGACCACACAAAACTAGTCAGACTTAGAAAAAACGTGTAGAGCAAAACGAAACCTTAACTGCACTTCAACGTCTGGAAAATATTGCTACTGCAATCAATAATCCTGGATCAAATGAAAAAGAAAAAGATGAGTTTTATTATTTCGGACAAAGTGTTGCTGCTCAGTTAAGATTATTGCCATTAAATAACGCTCTGGATATGCAATCCAAAATTCACGTTTTGCTAAGTACAGAAAGGTCTCGATTGTCCACTTCATATTCTCAGCCTTCCACTCCGTATTCTAACATATCTATATATTCTGAAGAAACAGCAGCATCTTCTGCCGATGATCGATTCATACACATAATATATACACGCAAACACTACAGAAGATAACACTATTACTTTTGGTCAAGAATCAGGACAGAATATTTTTAACCTAGCTTGGAATAATGCCTAATTTCTATGCTGAAATAAATAAAAAACATGAAAGATATTCAACATTGTTTTACTCACTTTAATAAAATCCCTTAGTGCAGTAGCTATTTCACTACAAACAATTGCAATGAACTGTGAAATCGTCGATTTTCCTACTCTGTACAATGCTTCTAAAGATACAAATGAATCACCTGTAGCTAAAAATCTTAATTTTATTTCCAATTTGGTTTTGCTGGGATGGCATTTCGTACGTGAGTATCATTTTTTGTTATTTTGTCCCTAATTTTTCCTAACAATTCATCAAATTTTTCTGGGAGCATTCTCAAATGGTTTTTGTAACCATCAGGATCTTCTTGACGCATTTCTTTAAGCAGACAACTATTTGCTCCAAAATCATCCCTTCTACTAATCCAATCTCTTACTCAAGCCCGTCTTCTTCTTTTTCTCTTTTTATCTCGCATTAATTTAGCTACACATTCAATTGCTTGTAACAACAGGATTTTGTTTAATTAACTTCGATTGTTATCCATTTTTGGCACGCAAGAATAGGTACCGAGTGACACTCACGAACTTTTATGCCAGCTACTTTCCCGATTTACTGGCATGTGTATCCCCAGCGTAACACATCTCGTGGGTGACTTAAGAGAAATTTAGAAAAAATATCGTAATATTGGCTTCTGATAGTTCATGTAATCCTTTGGTATAAATCATGTCGTATTTATCTATACAAGAATTTAATACCGAATTTTGATACATTTTAAATACTTTAACTTACAGAGACTGAAGTGATCAAACTACAAAGCTAATCCAGACAAACGAAGAACGACAAATTTTTACTGTCAGGAAAAAGAAAAAAAATTAAAAAGATTAAGATTTCATCATGATTTGAATTTATATTTATTAATCGAATTTCAGTCAACGAGACGGCTCAGCAGCGCAACGGCCGAACGCATCGTTACGGCGCTAGGAGGCCGCGGACTGGAATCCCGCTCGGAACCAGGGACTGATATCGATATTTTGAAAATACTGATACTTCTATATTAAGATCGGTATAAGTATTGATAACTCAATTAATCATCACTATTTGGTACTGATATGTATTATACCGGTATAAAAATACCGATATGATGGCTACGGGACGTGGCCACATTTCGCAGCATGTGTCACGCGAAGCGGCAACGCAGCGTTCGGCACCGACAAAGCGGCTGGTGGCGACACACGAGCGGAGTTGTAAATGCAACAATGCTTACCTAGTTATTGTTTTTATTTAAAAAAAATTTGAAGATTTCCTTAGCACAAAATATGTGGAGGCTCAAAGCGATATACAGTACCTCATAAAAATAAGGACTGATAGCATGCGCCCAGATTCTTATTCATTCTCCCATTATTAAGGCACCTCTTCTTAAGTCGACAGAAAACATATTAAAGCACTGGGGGTAAAAAAACACTCATTCTCGTCTCTACAAATTGGCATGTATTATTTTAGCTTGTTTCACACTGACTTAAGTGGCTGGCACTTAAGTCAGTGTGGAACGGCTAATTTTTTCTTTGAAATTCGTAGTTTCGAAGTACCGTTTTAATTTTAAAAGAATTTTAATCGAAGATATTAAATTTTAAAGAAGGCAAATAATTTGTCAGAAAATTTCTGTTATTTATTAACTGATAGTTTTGCTAATCATATTATTTAAGAAAATAAGAAAAAGTTTAACACAACTAACAATTATTTTAGTATTAGTAATTATACTTTTTCTATGGAAAAATCAACAGAATTAAAAAAATCAACAGTTTTCGGAAATCCGTCCCCTACCCCTCTTATACCATCATGTTTTTTATCTATCGAATTTTCATAATTATAAGTAGGCACATAAATTTTTATATAGCAGCTATCAAAATTTTCTTCAGTAATGAAATAAGTTTTTGACTTCCCTTACAAAATTGTCAGCTGATTGGGATATTTTGCTTGGATATTTTTCCATTTCAGAAGTAAATTTCAATAAAAAGTTGCTCACTTTGACGGTCTGAATTTTGATCAAATATTTTGAGATCAAGATTGATGAATAGTACCAATAATTGTCAAAATATACCAAAACACTTTGTTTCATTTACAATTTTTTTTAAATTAGCGTTTTCAAAAGTTGTGTTCGGCAGTCGTAGCGCGTAAGCATTTTATAGAGATAATATTTTCGTAGAGTAAGTGACAAACGAGCACACAGTCCACCTGATTATAAGTAAATGCTGTGGCCCAAACACCCAACGCAGACCCAAAACGCAGACCCGTGTGTTGCAAAACGCAGACCCGTTGTCACTCCTGAGGACTAAGATGGAATGTCTCGTTTCTAGTAATAAAGGGTCTCAGGATCTCTACACTCACCATAGCAAATACAGCATTATTAAGCTGCTAATTTACGCTGGTATTCTGTGAGAGCGTGGTCCTTCCCGGTCGAGCCGACCCATTCGTGCTACAACCATATTACAGCCGCAGCGTGACTCTAATACGTATATATTTTTATCTCTTTCTAACTTAAACTAGATGTAAGGGGTAGTCTGACATATCCGTTGTTCGCAAATTGTTAAAATCCTTATGCGGTACAACTTCAGAAGTATTCCTGAAGTATTCACTCCTTAACCACTTAACTGTTTTAATTAAGATTTACAGGTTTGACGTGGATGACTTTTATATCCTCCTTAATATGTCTCCCTTTTAGTCCATCTACAATTTTTAAAATATGGCGATAGGCAACAGTTCTCGTATAAGGGTGCAAAAATTGCAACTCTCATCAGTAATTGGCAAAAATGATAATTTCTCCTGTCCAATATTTGGCATTGCACGCAATCTGGGCAAACGGAATTTGGAATTTGCTGAACCGATGACAGTTTATTTTCATACTCACGTATGACCTTAGCTTGCCTATGACCGATGATGTTAGAGAGAGAGAGAGAGAGAGTAAATAAGACGCGAGAACGAGGAATTTATTTTTATTGTTTCGATACATTAGTATCAGTATCTATACCTATAAACTAACTCCAAGTATCGATATTTTTGTACTGAAATCTAACATCGATACCAATATCGATAAAACGATACCTAAATATCAGTATCTATATCGATAACCCGATATCGATACTTGCTAAATATCGGTAGTATAGTCCCTGCTCGGAACAAGTGTTTGTATTGCTTATACAAATGAATGTTCTGGTCTGGATGTTTGTACATGTGAAATTTATGTATGTAAAACGCCTTCACAATACAGGAGAAATACATATACAATAATATTATAATAAATACACGTACAATAAACACAAAATCTTTTAGAAACAACATGGTAGTGATAACCTCATTCCCAGGGTTATTATGAATCATATTTATTTGATATTTAATAATTACTTTTTCTGATAAGGAAAATTTTTCATAAAAAATCCATGCATTTCTTGCATAATTCATTTTCCCCACGAAGGAATCACTGAGTCTTTGGAGTCGAGTAACTTGTATTACTAGCTTGTACTTGTTCCTAGTATTTACACAATGTTCAACACTATCTATACAAATAAACAAAATTAAAGCGTCTGTTTGTTATGTCAAAATCGCTAAGTAGGTAATCTGAGAGATTTCTAAGGAATTTTCGATGGAAAATGAAGTTATAAGGTAAGATATTCGTTCAAATAAGCCAAGAAAAAATAAAATTAAAATTTCGAATTCTAATCCGATTTAAATATTCTTTTATATTTGACATTTCAATTTAAAAAAGTATTAAATTGTAGCACAGCGGTGACACTCCCTGTACGTGAGAGCTTAAGCGCCGGTGACCTTGAGTCGAAGCCTGTAACGCTAGGGTTGATATCGAACCGAAATGAAATATTATAGACTTGTACAAAAGAAGATACATAGTAGGTATGTGTTATATATTGTGTAAACTTACGTATTTAGGTAGTGAAAGATACGTTCAATTTTAAATGAACTTTTATTAAATGAGGAATATTAAAACGTCCGACAAAACCAAATATGCACGACAGTTAATGGTAATCTTAAAGAATTAACCAACATTTAGTATTTCAGTACGCAATAATCAGTATTACCTACTATCCTTTAAAAATAATTTACTCTTATATATTTTTGAATTTTTCGATTAATTTTTTAATTTTCATTATTATTTCTAACAATTGCAAAAATTCGTAGCATGTATATTTTTTTTAGAAAATCCAAAGTTATGCAGGTTTCCTGGGACATAGCGGCCAACAAATTGTTCCCTATGTGTTGAGGAGATAAGTCAGTTTTATTTCTAATGAAATAATCCATAAATACAACAATGAGCAAATACAAAAACTCTTTATAGATATCTAAAATTTCTTGACTCCCTAGTGGTATTTTTAATAGTGTATATTTCAGTTAATGTAATTTAATAAAATTATTGGCGATATATTAGTTTTATTGCCATGGTATTTCCCCATAATTCTTGTTAAGATCATATCGACTTTCATTAAAATGAGTTCACATATTTTTAGGTATCATAAAACATTATTAAAAATTAAACTAACAAAACAAGGGCCCTTGTTTTGTGCAGTGGAATTTATTTTAATTGTAATCACTTAAAATCACTTTCAGTAATACTTAT